GATAAACCCTAAAAGTTGAAGTGATTTTGAGACAACAGATGAGATATGGGGGATGTAGGATAAGCTGGAATCGAGCACAACACCTAGGTCTTTTATCTGAGATAGAATCTAAAGGGCAACCATTGATAGTATAGATATGATTTGTAGGAGTTTTATTCCGACCAAAAATTATTAAATGACACTTATTAACATTCAGTTCCATTCCGTTGCTGTCACACCAATAGCTCAACCGATCCAAATCAGACTGTAGTTTTTGATAGTCACCATCATTCTCTTTTTTCAAATATAATTTTAAATCGTCAGTAAACATTAGGAAAGAAGCAAAGAGGAAACAGGAGGCAAGTCATTAACATAGTTATTGAATAGAAGAGGTCCTAGTATGTGGTGTATATATGAGACCCTCAACATATTATGTCAGTAGCATCACATTTTAAATGTCTCTAATCATTTTATGGCATCTTCTGTAAGGCTCCAGCTTTCTGCTACATAGAGGGGGACATCAAAGACTTAATATCTAACAATTCTTATGCATATATTTCTTATGCGTTTACACTGATTTCTCAAAGGCCTTTGACCAGGTTAATCATAATCTTTTGGTCCACAAACTTCATGCATCTGGCTTTGGTGACCCCATTGTTAATTGGATTAAAAGTTTTCTGATGGGACCTACACAGCAAGTTCGTATTAACAATTATATTTCAAAAGAATTTCATTGTTATTCTGGTGTACCACAAGGGTCTCATTGTGGTCCCTTGTTTTTTAACTTTTTCATTAACGATATTGGTAAGGCTATCAAAAACTCACACTTCCTGCTATTTGCTGATGATCTTAAGATAATTCGTTGTATACAAAATAAATCGGATAGAGATCTCCTGCAAGATGATGTAAACAACATATGTTTATGGTCAAAACAAAATGGTTTAAGCTTAAATCCAACTAAATGTTCTTGTATTTCATTTGGTCGTATAAATAATCTAATGGCTAATAGATATATTCTTAATGATGTACTCTTGGATTCAGTTACGGAGATTAGAGATTTGGGTGTATTATTGGATTGTGCATTGACATTTAGAAGCCATTTTCTTAAAATTAAGGAAACAGGATTTCGTAATCTTGGTTTTATTTATCGCAACAGTCATGATCTCTCACCTATTGTATTTAAATTATTGTATTGCTCTCTGGCACGCTCAGGTCTTGAATACTGCTCTGTTGTCTGGTCCCCGTTTCATCAAGTATACATTGATGAATTGGAGAGCGTTCAGAGGAAGTTTCTAAGATCTTTAGCTTTTAAAGCCCATATTAATATAAAAAATACTGAAAATTATTTCATAGATTATTCTATAATAATGTCTCATTTTAACATTGTTACTATTGTAAATACTATTTTTTGTATTTTATTGTAAATGGTTCTACCATTGGAATGAATAAATAAATAAATAAAAAATATTGATACTTAAAGTTGCAGATAATCTTCCTAAGGCTTCTTCCATGATAGCTGCTGCTATGATAGGCTGAAAATCTATGTTGTGTAGGATAAGATGATGAATTGTGTATAATATTGTCAGTATGAGTAGGTTTATGAAATACAGAGAACTCATGTTTGTTTTTAAGTACAATAATTTTTAAATCTAAAAAGTTTATAGATTGATTTGTTCTGTTTCTATTGTAAAGTCAATATGACTATGGAGTGAATTAATGTAAGATAAGAATTGGTCAAGTTGCCTGTCAATTAATGAAAAGCATACTAATATATCATCCACATATATCCACCAATATGAAAACTCTGAAATACCGGATGTTTTTTCTATTGAATGGATGGAAAACACAGGATGGAAAACCTGTTTCTTTATAATCCATAAAAATATCTGATAGCAATGTGCTTAGAGGATTACCCATGATTATTAAATTCAAAGTAGTCCTGATTTATACAAATATCAAGAAGATCTAAATTCCAGAAGATCTAATGAGCAGAGATTTTTAGTGGAGAACTTTTAAAGTGGGACAGATAGTTGGAACATCGAAAGATTCTTTTAATTGTTGACAATTGTACAACCCATCTGAAAGTTTTACGGTTTAAAAAACATTCAACTTCTTTTTTTCTTCCCAAATGGCACATCTTTCCTGTAACCGAAGGAGCAGGGCATCATAAGTTCCCTTAAAGTTCACTACACAAAAGTTTTAGTTAAGCAGATCCTGAATAATGTGGAAAACCGTAGTGAATACTGTTACTTTATTAGATGCCATAAATTTCATCCACCATAGAAAAAAACAATCAGAAAATGTTTTGATCATGTGGGGTGGATAGACTGGGGTAAAAAATGAAGAAGATGTATATCATTTAGCAGAGTGGTTGAAATTACAACAGCAAGGTCAAGGAGAACTAACCCAGCTGAACAATGATGACGTCATTTATGAGACAATCCCAGCTCAGTGAATCTACGCAAGAAGTTCCTAACAGACAATACTCAATTGTGTATACTCATGTTAAAAATATAAAATCTTAAACATGTCAAATATTTACAAAACCTCAATTAAAATTAAAATTATGTTTCAAACTTATTTTCAAATTGCTTTTCAGGCAAGTTTTCTATATTTTCAGCCAGACCATAAAAAAATTTTATTATCCAATTACCTGGCCCATTTTGACACCTTTTCAAACGCGAATATGCTGTATCATATTCTGTTTGTACCTAGTATCGTAACCATACTGATCTTTGTGACTTATATAAAGATTGGTATTCCTCTTCATAAAACGAATATTTTTTAGAATGTACAGGTACAGTAAGAATTCCCAATCTTTCATAAGCCTGACGGCAGGCTTCCCTAATCCCCAAACCAGCAAGGGCCCTCATTGCCTTTCTCTACAGATCAAATACTCTGTGAGTGTCAGTTGCATGATCCTTGACGAGGATGGAATATGAAAGATGTGAGTAGAATATGGAATGATATGTAGTACATATAGTCTCCACTGAGATATATTTTGAAAGATTTCTTAAAATAAAAAGACTTTTATTTAGGTTTTTAGCATAAGTTATTAATATATGGACCCCACTGTAATTTTGGGTTCAAAAGAACTCCTAAAATCTAATCTCGCTGACTCCAGTATTCATATCTTACATTGTTAAAATCACTTGTTTAGTTTTATTGTTGTTCAGAACCAACCTATTTGTAGCAACTCATTGCTCAGTTATCTGCCATGCCACCATAGAACCCTCCAGCACATCTTCAATATTATCAGCTCCAAAGGCCACTGTAGTGTCATCTGCAAAGAGTGTATATTTAGCCTTATGTTCCATGTTTGGAAGATCATTTATAAAAATTAAAAATAAAATAGGCCCCATATTGAACCCCCAATATTTAATACACTCTCTGACGACAACACCCCACCAACCCTAACAACCTGTACCCTATCTTACAGATATGATTTTATGAGCTCAATACTCTGGAACAAAAGTTATATTTTTCTAATTTATGCAGGATGATTTCATGGTTGACCAAGTCAAAAGCCTTGCTCAAGTCACACAAAAGGACTAAGTTAAATTGAAACTGGATTTCCATAAGACAGTTTTCCCTCGAAATCGCTCAAAAATTGCTGGATTTAAATTGTAACCTCTTGGTACTACTTGTATCCTACTTGTAGTGATCTCATTTGTACAAAATTTGACATTGAAGTCACCTGCCAAGACAATGGGTCTCCCCATACCGTAACTTACCAAAAGTCCATCTAAAGATGTGAAAAAGGTGTCAAAAAGGCCAGATGGGCTTTGATATAAACATATATTACTTACGTACTTCTTTAAATCAATCATACAGTATTCAATACACTTTGCTAAGTTAAAATTCTCCCTAACAAAAATACATGTTCCTCCTCCAACTGAATCCATTTTGCCTGAAAAAGCTACCAATTTAAATCCCTGTAAGTGGACTGCTTGAACCTCTTCTTCCTGCAGCCAATGTTACATTATACAAAGAACATCAATTTTCTTATCTGCCATAAAGCCTCCAATTCATCTACTTTATTATGTAATCATTGCACACTTGCATGTAGAATCCTAAGGTTAACATTTGTTTCATTTATGGTATGTGGGATTTTAAGTACTTTACTCTAGTTGTGCAGATTCAGAAAATTGTTAACAGTCACACTCCATCAAGCCATATTTCTGACCATACATATCTAGGTCTGTCTTCCATTTGGTCTGCTAATTTAAATGAGCTGCAATATTCGTTTCTTCTAGCTGTTAATGTCTCACACTAGCGCACCCAAATCATAGGACTTCATAAAGTCTGCAACATTTTCAGGTGTAATCTCTGTGGACAGTGCTTTAAACATTGTATGTAAGAAACTTTATCCAAGGACATACTGAATAATTTAAAACAGTCAAATATGACTGACTTCTTCCAATTGCTGTAGCAATAGTTTATGTTATTTTGAAATACCCTTTGTACAAAAACAAAAGTAAACTCTTTTTCAAAAGTGCCATTCAAACAATATTTAGCATCTTATATTGCTCAGAATGGATTCACTATAGGAAGTTAATGTTTTAGAAAACTGAATATTTATATGTATGCACAATATTAGTGTCTGATATAACAAGATCTGCTTATAAAGAGGTAATTAGCCTGCCATTTCAGTTCTTGTTATAGAGGGAGTCTACAGTATGTATAATAATGTAATATATATATATATATATATATATATATATTATATATATATATATATATATATATTATATATATATATATATATTATATATATATATATATAAATTTATATAATTAAATATCTATTATGTATATCAATTTGGTAATTTTATAATACCTTGTTCTTAAGATAATATCAGACAAGAACTTTAAAAACATATTGAACATGATAGCTTATGTAAGTATATCATGAATTAGGATAATAAAAAGCTAAGAAAAGGTAAACATTGTGCAATATTGATGTTTTCAAAAAAAATTTGACAAAATTTGGTAAAACTGATCTAATGAGTACAACTTACTTTGAGTGCATATTTCTCCCGGGTGTTCTTGGAAAAACACTCAACCACTTTCCCATTTATTCCTAATCCCAGTACTGTTCTAGATATTTCATAGTCCTCTGTGATTGGGTTAGATTTTGGAAGAGCTCCAGTAGTTAGTCGCTTATCCTTGCTCATCTTTATTCGCTAAAATAGGATTCCAATGTAAAAGATATCTAAAATATTTGATTGATAATATCAACCACCCAAATTGAAAATAAAGAGTATCTCCAATATTATTTTATTACCAAATATAAAATGACAATTCACTTCCTTGGCATATTATTAATATAGAGAACTCACAATTAATGTACAATAATAAGACCGCTACTGTAAATGAAATAAAGTATAATACTGCCTGAAATATCTGCCTTACCTTTACTTATGGTATATATGTTGTAACCCTATTTTAAGTTGCTATCACAAATTATTGCAGGCCCATTCGGTTATTAAGATAAAAACAAGTTTTTGCAAAATGTTGCACAACGTGTTATTCTTCAAAACTGTCCAAAATTTCCTATTTTAAAGAAGAGATTTAACGTCTATATCATGGCTTGCTTCCATTTCGTATCTCTCTTAATGAAGTGCTGCCACCTGCCACCTTTCAATGCCAAAATTTGTGGTTTAAAATATTATATTAATACATGTCTGTAAAAAACAGCAAATTAAGCAATTAGAAGACGAACCAAAAAATAAATTAAATATTCCTTGTATTAAATATTATTTTTTTATTTTTAATAATTTTTATCATTTTGATTTATTTATATAATTAATTTTTATATCGATCCTTTTGATGACACTATCGATTATCCAACGATCTATCGAGTTCGAGTATCGAGTCTATAAATCGCGTTTTCGAGAATAGCATATTAATTATTGGCTTTTATACTTACTCTATAAATAAAAACTTGTAAACAAGCAAAAGAAGAATGACAATGACAGATAACATAACATTGACATAAGTTAAAATAGTGTTACAGATTCTAAAAAGTAGATAAAATATTCGAATGAAAATTTAATTTTACTATTCTCTAGTAACATTAATGACTAATAAATGTAAGTTTAAGTAATATTCATTTTATCGAGATGTTCAATGTTTCTTTTTTAGATTCGAATTTAACCCCGCCCCAGTATATTCCAATGGTTAGGATTCCAAGAAATGAATTTGTGAAGTAGATTAACAGAAATAATGTAAATAATTGTGATGGCTGTACCTGGGGGTAATAATAAAGGTCCATGTTACTGGTGTTTCAAAGCAGTCAAATGGATACCAGTCTTATTTATTGTAACTATAGTCGTTTGGTCCTACTATGCCTATGTCATTCAACTTTGTTTATGTAAATATACTTTATAAATTATTTCAATACAGGTAACTATATAGAATAGGGGGGCTTGGCACAAATGTGGAAAAGATTAAAAAATCTCAAATATGAAAAGGTTCTGAAACTGTTTTCTTGTGACATGTATAGACCAAGAGCTAGTGAAATCATCCTAGTAACAGTATGACTGTAACTCTAGAAATGTTTATAGTAATTAGTCATAGCATGCCAACTCCTTTAATCATCAGCTGGCACAAATCAGCCTTGCATGTTATCAAGTGTAGATAAAATTTGAAAAAAAAACAAGTTGTAAGCTTGAAAATTTTATACAATTTTGTTAATTCATTGTGAAGTTAATAAAAAATGTACAGGCATTTTCTATGAACACAAGTACCTAATAGGTTAACTGAAAGGTGCATCATATAAATTTAAATGAACTTTATTCTGTAAAATTGAAATGTATTTATTACATCTCGGATCTTGTGCTCAATTATAATTCCATATATTTTTATGAAATACAAAAGTTGTGTGTTAGCTTAAAATGTGTTTTAGCTTCACTTGACTTGTTCTCAGCTGTATCAATACACTGTTATAATAATTTTTCACAGATAGAAAAAGGAACTGTATTCCCTGCAAATCAGATAAAAAAATAGTTTCCATTGATTAAGTTCCAACCATTATCTTCAGGTTTAAGAACCATTGTCACTTTTAATTGACTATTTTGCCAGATATATATAAAGATCACAATAATTGTTGTTGCAGTTCAAATTGGCATGGAGGTAAATTTGAGGAATTATAACTAATTAATTTTTTCATTAACACCTCAGTACCACTACTTGTTTTGTATGTTTCGAGAAACTTTTCATACCATGCTTCATTTAAATTTGCAGATTTCATCCCATACATTTGACAGACAAACTTTTAAAGTATTGGAAAAACGTCATATATTTTCATTATTATTTCGCTGCAAATGCCTTTTGAACTAGAATATTTTTTTGTATTAATCGATATGTTTTTTTTTTCTCTTAGAAAATATGGATTAAAATCATATCTGGTTAATGTGAAAGTGAGGTAAAGCTTTGGTCCATTAAATTAAAATTACTTAGATGACGCAAACCATAGTAATATGAGACTCTAAGATCAATCTGACTCACAAGAGAGGGACAATCAATTCCAACATTTATTAATTTAAAAATCAAATCTAAACCAAACAGATCCCTCCTCACACTTAGAGCACGCAAGCTCATAGAGCTCTCCGTGATAGTATAGCCATGGTAATGGCCCATTCAAAATTAGCTTAATATAAAGTATTTCCTGATCAATACAATCAAATGCCTTAGAGAAATCTGTATAAATTGAATCAGTCTGCTTCCTGCTTGTAATGTTATTTAGAATATCAAGCTGTTAATTTAATAGATTCATAGACACTTATACATCCAAAAAATCTGCTTGCTAACTACACAATCAAATAATTTTGGTATTTCAGATTGGATACAGATGCTGCCATAGTTATCAATGTTATTTTTTGTCTGATTTTAAAAATTGGAACAACATAACTTTCTTTCCAAATGTTATGTTTCCAAAAGTTGAAGATGACAAAGGCTTGTTAAATAGTAGATACAATAGCAATACAATTGTGCACACACATTTTTTTAGCAAAATGTTAGGACCATTTGTAACCTTATTTGGAAGAGCCACAATTACCTTTAAGATTTCTAGCTTTGAAATTTCTGTGTACTTAATGTTATTACTAATATTCATAACTTTATTTTTAAAAGGGTACAAACTGTTGATAGTCAGTATAGACAGATTTAAAAAATACCTTAAAAAACAAATTTCCGATTTCTTGACTTTCCATTAGAGGTGTGCTTATTAGTTCTTTTAGACGAACTAGTTCAACAGAACTATTATTAACCGTTTTAAATATAAATATGGTTCAAGTATGATTTATTTTTATATTTACGTATATTTAAACTCATAGGCATTTATAATTAGGTTATTTCTAAAAGAACCTTTACAAAAAAAAATCAGTGAATTTTCTAGGAACATTAAATAACACATTTTCATTCTCACTTTTACATAAAATTATATTTTATGTAAATGCCTCAATCATTTTAACCACAACTAAAATTTTTATTTCAAAATTACAATACAAGAAATAACACAGCATGGCAACATCCAAGCCAATACATGAGCATAAGATCCGAACCATTATGACATTAAGATAAGACTTAATGTTATTGTCACATTAAGAATTATGAATCTGTTATCTGAGGCTAATCGGCATTTTTTTAAACTAGTTAGTCCATCCATTCACAAAATAATAAATATCTGCTCCAATTTATTCATTCATTATTTTCTTCTTTAGAAGTTGAGACATAATTTATAATGCAAATCGTTCGCAGTGAACTAGTTCAATGAAAATTAATGAACTAGTTCAATTAGTTCAGTTGAAAGAATTGTTCATTAGAACTATTTCGATGGTGAACTACACATCCTCACTTTCCATAGCAGTTTGATTGGCATAAAACGTTGAGCTGGGTAGACTATGGTTTGACAGTTTATCATTTATATACTTCCAGAATGACTTAAGATTCTCCGTTAGTCTTGCATCCAGATCTCTTATGTAGTTAGAAAAACAGACATTAGAAAATCTATTACATTCTAACCGCAACTGAGAAAATTTTAGATAATAGCCAAATGTCTCTGCCTCTGTCTTGTAAGCCAAATGCGCCTCTTTTTAGCTATAGTTAATTTAAGTCTGAAGAAAATCATTTGGGAAAAGTAGAAGTGTGGTATTTTTTAATGGTATGAAAGAGACAATTCCAGTAAATAGTAGCTCATAGAACAACCCAACTGCTTCATTTATGCCAATATTCCAATATTGGCAATTGGGTACAATATTGGGTACAATGGCCAATATGCCATTATACCCAATCAAAATATTTAAATCCATATAATTGCCATTTTTCTAGAATCAGGTTCTTTTAAAGTACTTGTATTAACATCATAACCAATATGATGCAAATTGAAATTCATGAGGGTCAATGGCCTTAGTTACAGCACAATCTCTAGAATTGGAAAAAAAACTAAATCTGAAAATATATGGCGATCATTTGGTATGTTATTATAGTGAAAATTTCTATAATAACTATAAGATTGAGCCACATCAATTTGCTCGATCACCTGCTGGACACTGGACTGCTGTTCCATATTTATCATTAGACCACAACGCCTTTTTACAGATTGTAATCAACTTAACTGGTAAACATTCGTAGCTGGATATTGTTGAATCAATCCCTCAACTGTCTCAAAATGCAAACTGTAAATTTCGCGGGAAGACAGTAGGGGGATGTAGACTTCACCAATGACAAAACGGGTATTGTTAATTAGACAAGACATATACTTCCTCTACCCTTTTTTCTGCTATTTTCACTTACCTGGATTTGATCCTATCCTGAACAAAAATTATTACTCCACCTCTGCTGGACTTATGGCTAGTATTGCAATTTCTTTCACAACAGAAAACACTAGAACCTTCACATTTGAGTTCACAATCAGAAAAGACCTTATTTAAATTACTTTGAACCATGACGATAATGTCATAATTACTGCTTACCACCCTTCATGTTAGTTCATGTAATTTGGTACGGAGACCTCCGATGTTTTGAAAATAGATATTTAATTGGGTTTGTGTTTTTTGGAATTTTAGTTTCCTCAACTGGCTTACTCTTACCGTACCTAATGACCAAATTCTCCTCACTATCAAAAACCCTATTTTCCAGATTTGTCTTGGCATTTTTATAGGCTTCCAGTTGCATTGGTGTCTGATTAAAGCACAGTTTAGAGCGTGTTCCCTGCAATTTTTTCTCATATTTCAATGCCTGCCTTACTGTATCCATGTTGCAAACAACTTTGACGGCCCTTGCCTTGTTATTTTTGATTAGTCCTACACAAATAACTTTCTTTATTGTTGGGAGTTCCTGCCGCATCCCTAATTTATTAAAAACTTCTTCATCTGTGGATTTAAATATTTTTTATATTTACAGTATTAATCCGCTTGGAATCTTATAAATGCAGGTACATCCACACCGACGATATTGCCGAATAGAGCATAAAAAGTTGTACAAGAAGAACACTGTAACTCAAAATCGCCAAAAATATTAGTTAGGTACATTATTTTGTACAGGGGTCGATATATACATTTCCACCTTACTGAATATAAAGTTCATTTTAATTTATATATGAAACACCTATCACGGTTCACCTGTCAGGTACTTCTGGTCGTTGAAAATGCTTATCATATTTTTTTAAGTTCACAATTAATGAACAAAGTAGCTTAAAAAGCACCTCAGCACTTTACTTTTGTAAAAATGATGGTTTCAGTTAAATTATCTAAAATTTTGCAGAGGCACTGAGTTACAAAGGTTCAAAGTGTCGGTTTTTAGTCCTTTTGAATAATAAATATTTGTGTAATTTATAGGGTGTTAGTAAAAAAGTACAACAAATTTCAGTGAGCGATTCTGCATGAAAAAATAATGACAGTTTGCTATATAAATGTATTCCCGCAAATGCTTCCTTTTCCAAAATACGGGGTGTTGAAATTTTTCTTACAAAGTGACGATTTATTTATTGCCTTGTAACTTGGAGTATCCCTGAACGATAGTGAGATTATGTAAATAATCAGAGCCTGAGTAGTATAAGTAAAAAAAATTAATTTTGACCATACCACTTTTTTACTTTATTGGGTTATTAATTATAATTTGACAAAGTAATTAGTTTGTGTTATGACTGTAAGAGAGCTTAGGGATGTTTTTAATAGAAATACCATGTATGTTTTTGCAAGTGGGAGAGTAGTATAAGTCCATGTGCCTTTGATTCCTGTCATTATCTTTTTTTAATATTGTTCTGAAGCTATCTTCTTGTGGCATTTTAAAGTAATTAGTATTTTAATGGAAATAAGCCACAATTTAAGGTCAAAATAAGTTTATTGACGTTTCAATCTCCACTTCGGAAAT